CGATATGTCCTGAACAAAACAATTGCTTTTGTGCCGTTGCTAATTATGTAGTTTTGCCGAATCTAACCATGAAGGAAATTCCAAGCTTCCATTTTCCAGCAGTTTAGCAATTTATTTTTTCTCCAGCTGACTAGTGCCTTCATTAGCAAGAGAGCCAGCACTCCAAAAACATTTTTTTGGATGCCTTCTTTTGCCTAAAAATAAGTATGCAAATTTGCCAACGATATAACACAGCAACAGTTACCCACTGTTAAGAGTCTGTACTGCTTCCCAAACCAACACCGCACGACACCTGCACAGTGAATTTTTCCCGCAGCATTACCTTTAGAATCAAGCAACAATGACCTCAATAGCTGTGTTTAGCGGTAGATATTCAAGAGCTCTCTTAGACTGCAATAAGGTAAGGCAGAACCAGTAACAGGAACCATTAATTAGGAAACTTCCATCCAAATTTTAGCATCTTTCCTCAATTGAACAGCTTTCCGCACTGTTTTTGGTGCAAGCGTTTTTTTAACACATAATTTTATTGTTTATAATGCAAATGTTTCGTGACACTTTCATCTGTGATCACGTTAGCGGTTTAATATAATAAAAGATTATTTGTAACTAATATATATATATAACTGTACGGCTAGCATTCTTCCTACGCAAAGACAGTTGTACGTTTCAGACTTTACGATAATTAACATATTGCAAAGAATTTGAAAAATTAAAGTGTGGCACAATCCACACAGCCTTGATAAAAAGTGCGCCTCTGGATTCCTCAGCATCCACAATTCCCTAGAAAGCGATTATAAATTTCAGGGGCAAAATTAGTGGAGCAAAGCAGCCAAAATAGTTATTCAACCTTACTGAAAACGTATATATTCCAAATATTATAGCAGTTCGGTCACGGTATCGGCTTACTGTATAAACTTCAGAAGACTGACAGACTTCGGAACGGTACAAGCAAGAAACAGCCTGTACAATTTTTTTTACATCATTACCAAGCCGTAATCGTTGGCGCCACGATTGTCTCCCCGTTGCTCTAATCGTAAAATGTATCAAAACTTGTAATTAGAATCTGCAACAGTCTGCATCGTATTCACTTCACCATTGTTCGTAAATGCAAATTGCTACATTTTGATGACGCTAACTGCTGCTGCTGCTGCCTGGCCCATGTTTGGTTCAATATGACATTAGTGGGTCTCCCTCAAATTTGGCAGCTCTTTTTACAGCAATAATTTGACAGTTAATTCAACTTTAATTCCGTAAAATTATTTTTATACTCGAAGTAACTTTGCATAAAACGCTAAAGTAACCTTTTTATCCATTAATAACATCTCCCGTTGTCAAGTTCTTTTGGATTCTGCCCAATTTACAGTATCGTTGTTCATCTTTTAGTCTTTTAGCAGATATTCCAATTATTCAAAAGAAAAACTGCTTACATTCTTGGCCAGCAACGAAACAGATTCGTCTTATAAACAAATACTAAAAGAATGATTAATGACAACAAAACAATGAGGAAGAAAACGTCCAGAATTTATCAAGTTATTTCGATGTGACTTCACGTTTTCGTTCCTTAATGCAACATCTAAAACGGCGGTGAATTACAACATCTAAAAAAGTGATGAAACGATTACAGACAAATAAACATAGCAGGTGGTTCTAAGTCATCTAAATCTAAGCAAAAATCAAAGATCGAGTAAAGCGGAACAAAAAGAACATCTCAACTGCGGGTAACTGCACTTTTAGGAAGCACATCAACCATCAAACATCCTTGGCAATGATCGTTTTTATAACGCAAAAACTTCTTCCTTTAATAATTATTTTGAAAAAACCATTCAAGCGCTTTAAAATTAACCAGCAGAATACAGTTTTACGGGCCCTGAACAATTCAAGAATGATAAAGGAAAAAAATGAAGAGAAGAAACTAAATCTTCCAAATATGTAGGAAACTTTCGGGAGTATTCTACCCTACTGAGAAACTGCCAAAAATGCAAGAATCCAAAAAACTAAATTGGTGGCGGAAAATTTTTGTTGAAATCTTTATGTACAGCTAAAATTGGCGTATAAGAAAAGAATGAATCAACATATCACAAAGGAAACAAAGGAAAATTGCTGAACGACGGAAGAAGAAAGAGAGGAAACAGATTTGTTAGGATGGGAACCAAAACGAGGTAACAGCAATTTCGAAACTTTCAGACAGCAGCCATTCAGTTTGTAATCGGCAGCTTATCGATTCACTGCACATCAGTAACGTTGCTGATGCATGTTGGAGTGCTGCTGATGAACTGATGATTAAGCGGCATACAGATTTTGCAGTCGATACACTTGTTTACGTCTCCATTTTTGTTTCTGCCATACCGTTGTTGCCAGTTTCGTTTTTTATTCTATTAAGCTATGGTATCAGTCTTAATAGCTGTACTGAACATCCATGTTTGCTTATAATCACTTTTTTCCTCTAAGTAATTGGTTAGTTTGTAGGAATTTTAGTTTTTTTTTTTCAGATTATAGGATTTTGTCGCAGCAGTTGGACGCCTGCTGTAAAAGTTGTTTTGAACAGTCCTAATAATTTGTAAATATAAAAGGATATCAAAGACAGAATTTGTTTAGTGAACTTGAAAGATGACAATTTGCGGAACTGTTATTTTATCTGTTGTTTATGAGCTTTAAAGCTGAAATCACCTGTCGTATAGTCGATGAATATTTGTGGTATTTTTGTTGTAGCTGATGAATAGCAGTTTAAATATTTCTTTTTTTTTCAATTTATATTACTCCATGTGTACAGTAGATTTACAGATATTCAAGTCAGTTTATGGAATGAATGATCCACTGAAAGTTTTTTTTTTTTTTTTTGTTGTTGTTGGATTTATGCCTGGAATTTGTTATTTGTATACTCGTCAGTTGTAAAAGTCCCAACTTATAGTATCCGACCAAATAATATCAATAAATGCAACATACTGTTACGAATGCACGGGATTTTAGCGGAGTCGTATAGCTTGTTTTTTACTCTGCCATTGCGTATTACAAAAAGACAACTAAAAAATTTCGACCAAATCTGACAAAACCACATTGTAATATATCCATTGTTTTTGGTAAATTTTGCTCCAACGATTGTACGAAGAAAAGAAAACATTTATAGTTATGAACAAAAGAACTTATGTAGTGCTTTCAAGCTCGTAGACATTGTTATATGGTTGTCATTTGTAAGTTTCCCTGTAAGATCATTTAAGTGGGTGATCAGAAGTGTTGAAGTCTTCTCATTTTTAAAAGATTATATTGTTGAAAAGTTTGACGAATAGCTTTTACTTTTCCATTCAGTTCTGATAGCTCTGTTAATTTTATTAGGAGAAAGAAAGAGAGTCGAAGGCCTCCTAGGTAGGGGAGGAATTGGAGGGTGTTATTTTAGTGGAATGTGAACGCATCGTTGGTTTCTTATTTTTAGAAATTTCCGCAAAGGTATAGTCCGGGGAAGAACTGCTACACGTACAATAATTGTTGAGTAGTAGGCGAATCGATGTATAACGCTACAAGTAAATCGTTTAGAACTGACTATATTGTTGTTTTTAAGAACAAGTTAAGGAGTTTGTCTAAGACGGTACTTACTGCAATAAGTGTCAAAGTGCTATCACAGACAACTGAGAGGCAAGAAATCTGATGTTTCTAAATTGTAAACTTGTGTAGTATAGACAAAATATTTGACAAAGAATGGGATAGAGAAGAACGTAAAAAGGTTTAGGAAGTTTGTAGATGTACAAAGCGAGTCAAAGATTCACACTGTTGTTGGTATACTGATATTGAATGGTCAAAGAAGAAAAATTTTTCGAATTTGTGGACAAAGAAATGGCAGTTTAGGAGTATAAACGTTGCAATAATATGTTTAGATAGTTTCTTCCGAACGTTGTGTCGAAGTGTTTTTCTCACTTTTATCATGTTTGTAATTGGTTGGAGTAGCTGCAGTACTAGTGGAGTGTTGCACGGCAGACTGGCTGAAAGGGTCAAATAATTGTTGCTCTAGATACAACAGGAGACTGGCATCGTTCTTTGGGGGAGGGACAGCTGGTAAACAGCTTTGGGTATCCGGGCGTGTAAGTTGGACGTTAACTAGTACTTCCAGTTAATCAGCCGAGACTTCTTATAAGGATGGTCAGTGGTTTGCTCTTACGGAAAAGGTTGGAGATTTCTTTTGTCATTTGGTGACCGGTTTTGGTCTAATTGATATTTTTTTGTGTTGGCACTTAGTTGGAAGTAAAGATTTGAAATTTTTTATAAAATTGCTCACTGTTTTCAATGCAGAAACTTTTGGTGTAGGACTGAGTGTTGAAAGGTCATCAGATTATTGATAATGTTGCTATATCGAAAGTTTTCTTTTTACAGTGACCATTTTCCTAGTTTTTGATATGTTTTGTCATGTTCTGTTCTAATGGTACGTTATGACGTGATTGTCAATTTTTTCTTTTGGATAATCTTTTTTTTCTGCAGCAAAATTTTGGTACTGTGATTAAATGTTGGAAATTTGTGGGTGTCCGAAAGCAGTAAGATGGAACATTAAGAAATAGATATTTCCGAGTGCAAAGATGTTTTTTAGCATGTCGCCTGGATTTTATGGTCGAAACTTTCGTTGTATTTTTCAGATTTAGCAGGTGAATGAATACATTTGATAGAGTTGGTAGGTGTTAATCATTTTTCAATCTTTTCAAACATCGTTTGGACTTCGTACTTTCTTCGTTGCGTTATTATGGGAAGCGTTTTTATAAAAAGGCGATTAGATATTTTTTGGAGTTCTTGAGTAGGATGCCCATTTAGATGTTTAGATAGATGGCGGCATTTTGTTGGTCAGTTATCCGTCGTTCTCTACTTTTTTCTTCTTATCTTCTGTTCTTTCGCATTTTTGATGGTGGATTTACTGTTAAGCGAATATAAGAACAGATGTGCGGTTTACATTTTATTTTTAAACAATTTTTTGAGCAATATCGATGACCAAATGAAGTTTATCTGCAGGTTCACGTGTTTGAAACATGCATGAGGAACAAAAAAAGACGGGACCAGTAATGGAGCTGGACAGTATGGGTCTTGAAGGTATGTTTACTTAATG